ACCAAAATAGAATTTATTTGCTTTATACATAGTGACCTGACCAGTTTTATTAGGAGAAAACAGAAAAACTATACTCTTTAAGAAAATTAAACTTTTAAATATCCATTTTTGACCTGAGGTGTTAAACCCTTCAGCTCTGTGCTGTTCACAGAGTAAATATTTAAAACGCAGTGTTTGGGCTCGCTGTTTAATTTTTGACTTCTACTTAATCATGTGTGCTCTGGCTTGCTTTCAGGATTGCTGTCTCTGCACATTGTGGGAATTCTTCTAACTTAGCTCTGTTTCCCATTTTGTATACATTATCTTAAAACCAAAGTCTCCCCACTAACTGACTTTAATTCTCTTCTTGTCTATTCTAATATCTCATGGATTTCCTTTTGTAGCCTTGTCTAAAATATCCTAAATGGTTGGAAGGTTGCTTTCCAATTTAAACCACTCTTAGGGTAGGCAAATGGCTGGGACCCTTGAGGGCATATCATACACCGTGGTGGAGAGGGGTAAGGATTTAGATTACTATGAGAGAGAAATGCATCATTATTAAATACAGTTCATCTTAGCAGAGTTACGTACTAGACTTTTTTTTTCAAAAAGGAGCATAATACAGAAAATAACCGTATCTTTTTCCTTACACAATTTTTGTTATTAATTCCGTCGGAGACAGGATATTTGCTGTATGTGCAAGTAGCATAACCTCTGATGGGCTTGGGAGTTTGTTTATACCCTTAAAAACACAGAATTTTAGGTGTAGAAGTGGTCTTATGCTACCATCAGATAGTACTCATCAGATTCCCTTTCCTTCAGTGCGACTAAACTGTGTTGTCATTTCTTTCTACCATGTTTTCCATAGACTCCCCACTCTTACTGGTTTTATCCTTTACCAGTGTGTCAGTCAGTTCTTGGTAAAGGCACGTGTCACACTGTATGGCAATCATTTGTTCATACAAATGTCTTTCTCTTTGGATCATAAACTGTGTAAAGGCAGGAAGTGGTCTATGACCACATACTTCCCAGTGGCCAGCTGAAAGCCTAGTTTATGGTAAGAACTTTAGGAAGATTAACACCCTCGTAGTAGCTAACAACCCCCAAATCTCAGTGGCTTAAGACAGTCTTGGGTTGGCAAGGGTCCTGTTTCACGGTGTCCTTATTGAGGGGTATAGGCTAATAAAGTCTGGATAAACTTGGACGCATGCTAGGCATCTTGGCAAGGGGGTGGAAAGAGTGAATCATGCCCCAGCCCTTCATGTTTCAGCTTGGAACTGACATGTCACTTTCTCTTAGGAGACATAGCCATACACACCTATGACCTTGGGAGCAAGAGCAACACCTCTTTGTTTCTGAGAGGAGGAGAACAGGAATGTTCGCCAGCGCCACTAATACCTAAGTCAATATCTGATACATGGTGGGCACCTGAGAACCATTGAATGAATGAAGTACTTAGAACTTTCTGCTGGGATTTTAGATTTTTCCACACAGTAAGCAGAACCACTTCAAATATATATACTGTTAACTACTTTTTTTAAATTAATTAATTTATTTTTTTATATCTTTTCAGCATAACAGTATTCATTGTTTTTGCACCATACCCAGTGCTCCATGCAATATGTGTCCTCCTTAGTACCCACCACCTGGCTCCCCCAACCTCCCACCCCCTGCCCCTTCAAAACCCTCAGGTTGTTTTTCAGAGTCCATAGTCTCTCATGGTTCACCTCCCCTTCCAATTTCCCTCAACTCCCTTCTCCTCTCCATCTCCCCATGTCCTCCATGTTATTTGTTATGCTCCACAAATCAGTGAAACCATATGATAATTGACTCTCTCTGCTTGACTTATTTCACTCAGCATAATCTCTTCCAGTCCCGTCCATGTTGCTACAAAAGTTGGGTATTCATCCTTTCTGATGGAGGCATAATACTCCATAGTGTATATGGACCACATCTTCCTTATCCATTTGTCAGTTGAAGGGCATCTTGGTTCTTTCCACAGTTTGGCGACCGTGGCCATTGCTGCTATAAACATTGGGGTACAGATGGCCCTTCTTTTCACTACATCTGTATCTTTGGGGTAAATACCCAGTATGTTAACTACATTTTTTGGAAGATGGGGATGCTAATATTACTTTACAAGCTATGTTCAGCAGACTTCTGAGAATTGTCTTGTAACCACTCTGTTCACTTTACTCATATTAGGGAAGACATTGTGTTTGATTTTCTAGTTTTTCAGATGCTTAGAGTATGGAATGGGTACATTTGCATGATTTAACGCTTTGCCTGAGTCATTAAGAAGAAGAGCTGGGGAAAATGTTAAAGTCATCAAATATTTACATATTAAGTTAGTCTGACCAAGAAGCTTTTTTAGAAGAGTTAATATCTGGCTCAACAATTGGACAAGAGCTTTGGAAAAATGAGAACCTAATCGACTTAAAAGTGAAGTATTTCTGAGAACATTTAAGTTCTACTTTCTGAGCAAATTTCAGTGATGTAACAATGTTTTCGACTACAGTGTAGTCACCATGTTTTACATTAGATCCTCAGATACCCATCTTGTAGCTGAAAGTCTGTGCCAACTCATTTACAACTTGAATGTTCTCTCTCTTTCTCACAAAGCACAGACACACACACGTGTTTGTGAAGTGATGGATGTGTTAACTAACCAGATGGTGAGACGCCATTCATAACATAATGTATATTAAATCACCATAGTGTCCATTCTAAATATCTTACAGTTTTATCTGTCAGCCATACCTCAATAAAGCTGAAATAAAATAAAATAAATATTTGGGTTATTTGCCCCCCCCCCATAATAGATAGCACTGTAATGTCTTCATGGCCCCCTTTCTTCCTTGTTTCTTCAATTTGAAAATATTTAACTTGAGGGAATTGGCCAAGGTTTGCTGAAATTTCAGCATGGCAGACCAAGTGGAAAGAAGTCCATTGAGAACAGAGGGGAGCATGACTGGAGGTCATCTTGGTTTCAGTCCTCTGAGGGGACAGAGGGAGGTGTGTCTGAAACCTGGCTCGTGTTGCTTTCAAGGTCATAGCTGGTGGTCATAGACAATTGCTGAAAGGGATGTTTGGCTTGGGAGAAGAGATGGCACTGACCCTGAAGACTGAAAGACCTGACAAAGTCCAGATTGCAGGACCAGATTCCATCTGGGAGGCAGTTCTAAAGGAGAATCTCATTTTTTTTTTTTTTTTTTTTTAAGGTCTGTTCCAAAAGATAATCATGGTTTTAATCCCTCAGGGCAGGAATTTGGGCTGGAGGGTAGAGAACCCCAAGCAGAGCTTGTTGGGGGAAGCTGAGCTTTACAAGTTGATCAGTACTTAGCCCATCTAGGATTTAAGCACCCAGACTGTTTCTTGGTCCCAGCCTGGATAGGAAGCCAATCCCTACTCTACTGCGTGAATCTGCTGAGGAAGTCTGCAAAGCTGAGCAAGGAAGGCAAAGTCCCTGATCTCTGGCTAGGATGTGGGGGGAAGGCTGTGACAGAAATTGAAAACTAGTGTTCATTGATTGTCTCACCAGTGGGTCCGTAGGAGTCAGGAGAGGTTGGAGATGAGATGGAAGTACTACACTTACCCCTCTTCCTTGAATTTGTGGTATCGTTATGGAAACAAGCACATTATAAAATTGGTTACTCACCATGAGCTACTCTGCTGATACAGAGACCAGAGTTGTAATACATAGTGTCTGAGGAACCTGAGGTGTTGGACGATCTCAGCAGTGCCTGAGTTCAATGAGAGTGTTTAAAACTATGTCTTTGCTTTGATGATAATCTGCAGAATACATATTTTTATCAGGTACAAACACAAGCCTTCTCATTTGCAGTGATAATTTGTATTTAAAGTATGTTTTCATAACCTAAAACTTTAGTTTCTTAAGTTAGTGCAATTCAAACTAGAGTCCAAAAATACTCTTCTGGGTGCATACATTTTTAAAGAAACTGTAAGCATGGAGGATAGAATCCGAATCTGAGCCATAAAGAATGGGTGGGCTCACATGGGTACAAAGAAGAGAGAAAAGTGTTTCCACAAGAGGCGAGAGTGTGAGATCAAGGATGAGCATGATTCATTTAGGGGACCTGGAACTTGAAGAATACTTCAGTTTCAGGTTTTAAATCCTGCCTCCTGACCTTGCCATGGCAATAGTTTTGGGAACCCTGTTTTCTCTGTTTCCTCGATTACCTGCCTTCTTCTGATGGGTGCATGAACTTTATGACATCTTTATTGAGAACGTGACTCTCACAACCCCTTTAAAGGGTCATTTTCTGACCCTCACATTACTGATCAGTATGTAACGTGAAACTTTCTTTGTGTGCCAGAATGTGAATTTTGTCTCTGCAGGACTGTACTTCTGAGCAGTTCATGATTCTAGCAGAGACGTCCAAAGGAGGGTGCGTTGCATCACCACGCTGGCTATTTGCCTGCTGCTCAGGAAGCAGGTGGTCCATCGAGGACCAGGACACTAACAGGAAATTGTCTTTTTTATGGAAGAACCTCACCTGTACTTTGTTAGGCATTGTTTTTCTCAAATATCATCGATGGCCTCTCGAATTATTTTTCTTTTGTACAAAAAGCATCCCAGATCAGTGTTCTTTTTTTTTTTCTTAAGATTTTATTTATTTATTTGAGAGAAAAAGAGCACAAGCAGGGGCAGTGGCAGAATGAGAGGGAGAAACAGACTCCCCACTGAGCAGAGAGCGCTACATGGGGCTTGATCCTAGGACCCTGGGATCATGTCCTGAGCCAAAGGCAGAGAGGCTTAACTGACAGAGTCACCCAGGTGCGCCCCGCCGCCCCCACTCCAGATCAGTGTTCTTTATGGTTCTTCATTTTACAGTAGTTTAATGAGATTTATTACTAAAACAGGGTTTGTGTTTGTTGATTACATCATGTTTGTTAATTACATCAGAGGGCAAGGCTGTTTGTTCAGATGTAGGCTGACAAGTACTTGGTCTTTTTCAATCTTCTTTGCTAAGTAAAACTTTTTTTTCCCCCCTTTACAGATTCCGACAAGATCATGGCGGAGCACAGCCACAAGCAAAAGCCGCTTGATTTACAGAATGGTAGCTTAGAGGCCAGCTTTGTGGCAAATTCCCTCGAGGACAGTTCCCCAAACATGATGGAGAGCCTGAGCCCGAAGAAATATTCCTCCAGCCTGAGGTTTAAAGCCAATGGAGACTATTCGGGCTCTTACTTAACCCTCTCACAGCCTGTGGCTGCTAAGAGAAGCCCTTCCCCTCTGGGATCCAGTGTCAGGAGCAGCCCCTCGCTGGCCAAAATCCAGGGAAGCAAGCAGTTCTCCTGTGATGGAACTGACAAAAGTATTTCCATGAAACCGCCCACCCCTCTCCTCAGCACTTCCCCCTCCCTCAGTGGGTACCCACTTGGGAAAGCGGACTTTGATCATTATACTGGCCGGGACAGCGAAAGGTCCTTGAGGCTCGCAGAGAAGCCTCCCTATTCCAAATACAGCTTAAGGAATAAATCCCATGACAATGTCTACTTTCTCGGGGGGCTGGAAGGCCGAAAGGCGTCTGGCTCACTCCTGACCATGTGGAATGGAAGTTCCCTGAGCGACACTGGCCCCTCTCCCATCAGCAGATCAGGGGCGGCAAGCATGCCTTCAAGCCCAAAGCAAGCCAGGAAAATGAGCATCCAGGATAACCTGACCCTTCAGCCCAAGCTGAGCCGACACAAGGAGCCAGCGTCTGAAAACATCGGTTTAAGAACCAGGAAGTATTCAGGCAGCAGCCTGAGTCACATGGGAGCCTATAGCCGCTCTCTCCCCAGGTTACACAGGGCCACTGACAACCAGCTGACGCCCCTCAGTTTGCCTCCCAGAAACTCTCTGGGCAATTCCAAACGAACGAAACTGGGGGAAAAGGATCTACCTCATAGCATCATAGACAACGACAATTACCTGAATTTTTCTTCTTTGAGCTCAGGGGCTTTACCCTATAAACCCTCTGCATCGGAGGGGCATCCTTATGTCAGTTCCACCCTCAGCGTCCCTGCCAGTCCTCGAGTGGCTCGGAAGATGCTTCTGGCCTCCACCTCCTCCTGCACCTCTGATGACCTTGACAGGGCTCCCTACTCTGGGCCCGGCCCAGGGCACTTGTTTCCTCCCGGGGACGTGTTTGCCGCCAGGAGGAACTTCTCCTGTGGGTCTGTCGAGTTCGATGATGCAGACCTGGAGAGCCTCAGACAGGCCTCAGGAACTCCCCAGCCCATCCTTCGGGAGAGGAAAAGCAGCATCAGCTCCATTTCCGGCCGTGATGACCTGATGGATTATCACCGGCGGCAGAGGGAGGAGAGACTCAGGGAGCAGGAGATGGAGCGACTGGTAATCCTCATCTGACTTGACCTCACTCTTCCCTTGAGCAGCTTCTTGGAGACACACTTGGAGGCCTGTAGGAGCTCCACGTGCCCCAGCCACTGCTTTGCCTTTCTAGAATTCTGCAGTCCTTCCCTTCCTCAGTCCCTACTGCTGGTCGTGTGGGGGCGTTTGAAGGCCTACCTGTACCTAGTGTTAGATTACGTGGCTCTGCAGAGTCCTATCAAGTGTAGATTCCTGATAAATCTAACCAAGTGGTTGTGAATTTTACTGAATTTCTTATAAGTCTTTCAAACTTTTCTTTAAGACAGTGAGTAAACACTGATTTGTATCACGGCTGCCATCAAATTGATATGGCATGGTCTGATAGGAGTAATTGGGGAAATCACGACTGTTTAGGAATTAGGCAGTAAACTTTTCTGTAGAGCAAGTGGTCTAGAAAATTGAAAGGTCAGCTAAATGTTGCTCAGCCTTTTTCCTGCTCTGTACACATACACATACCTTCCCCCCCCCACCATACTCCCTTCTGCAGTGTCTCCTAGTCCATACAGTGACACCCAAGTACACATCCAGGGAAGTTTTTTGAGTTGTCTTTTTCTGTTGAAAATGGATTTTTGCTTACTGTGGGAAATACTGAAAACAGTAAGAAAGGGGGATACTATCCCTTGAGAGTCCCATTCATGAATGAGGGCAAAGTGCTGCATTCTTTTTTTTTTTTCTTTTTCTTTTTTTTTTTTTCCCCTCCAAAGTGCTGCATTCTTACCCTTTTTCTTTTAAGCATAGACTTTTTTGTCTATGTGTTTCTTAGGACGAACAGGGTGAGAATTTACTTTAATTTATTAATGCTGAGTTGTTCCTTAAAGAGGGATGCAGCAAGGGGATAAAGCTGCTTTACAAAAGTATAAGAGTATCAAAAGGATTTTCATTGCTAAAAGAAAGTATGCTGGAGTAAGATTTCTGAATCACATACCAAGCTGAGTAATGCCCTACAGGATAACAAAATCGTAACCTTTGGATTCGAATGGGCAGAAACCATTTGCATCTATCCAGGACAAAAATTGTTTGGAATTTTACACAAAGAATCATTTGTGTCCCTCATAGATGTTGATAAGTCAGTATTGATCCTTGCAGATAGCCTAACCCGTAATAGTGAATGCAAACGAATGTGCATACCCTTAGAAAATTCTGTATTCCTTGGGTGGCTCTGTTAGATGGTGCGCCAGTATGACAGTTTCCTTTGTTATCGTAAATAATCTTCCAGAGATTTTTCATGGTCACAAAAAGGCATTGTATTTGGGCTTGATTCATTGACAGTTCAGGAGAAGTTTTAATTAGCATATGAATAAGCCTTCTTGTATGCAGCGTAGCAAATCTGGCTCTGTAGTGTGATGAACAACTCTTACTTTTATTATTATTATTATTATTATAGTATAATTGACACACAGGGTTACATTAGGTAAGTTAGTTTCCAGCGTACAACATAGTGATTCTGCAAATCTATACCTTAGGCTAAGCTCACTGCAAGTGTGGCTCCCATCTGTCACCTTACAAAGCTATGCCATTGACTCTGTCTCCTAGGCTGTACCCTTTATCCCTGAGCAACTACTCTTAGTGAAGCCAGAAAGTTAAGCTCTATTGGATAATTTATTAAGGAATCCAGGAGAGCATTTCAGTGGCTTCCCTCACTCCAGTGATCTTCCTGAGATGCTATTATTTCCTCTTCTGTTCCAAGGACAGGAAACCAACCTTGAAAATCACCTCCAGTTTTCATCTTTAGCACTTTTAAGTATAGGTGAATTTCTCGTTCCTCCAGTTTCCCCAAATCTACGAAGGTTCCTGACAATCCAGGAAGTGACCTTCCTTACTGCCTGTCAAGTCAGGGCCTTGTAAGTCACAAACTAGATCTTGGTTCAATTTCTTGGGAGAATTTTATGGATATTGCCTCCAAATATAAAGTTAGATCCCTTTTTTGCTTCATAAGGGGCTTTATGATATTCAATGAAATGAGGCTTATTTTTAAATATGACGTTTTGGTTTTGGCCCCTGTTGCTTAGTCCGTTTGTCTAATTACATCCCAGTAAAAGGGAAGAGAGATTCTTATTGGCCCATGCAAGTAATGTTATTGCTTTTAAAAAATAAAGTGACTGGGACACCTGGGTGGCTCATTCAGTTAAGCTTCTGCCTTCAACTCGGGAAGTGATCCCAGGGTTCTGGGATCCAGCCCCATATTGGGCTCCCTGCTCGGCAGGAAGTCTGCTTCTCCCTCTGCCTGCCACTCCCTCTGCTTGTTCGCATGCTGTCCCTCTCTGGCAAATGAATAAATAAAATCTTAAAAAAAATAAAAAACTAAAAAAAAAAAATAAGTGAGTTAGGAAAAATATTTCTTCCTGAATTCTAAGGGACCAAGGAGAAGAAGCTACCCTTGAAAGAATGTTTCCTTTAGTTTACAAAATCAGAGTCAACTAAATTGAGGGTTAGAGATAGATGGAAATGAATGCTAAAGGTGTACCCCATTTAGACAGTAGAATATTACACACAACACCAATGATTTTCCATGAGACATATGGAAATTAGATTTCCAGGATCAGTTCGATGAGTTCTGTAGAATTCTTATTCCTTTGCATCTTGGGTCATCAGCTTGATTTCATGAAGTCATCTATTCATGGACTAAAAGAAGTCCTGGTTTAACCACCTTGTACTGTTTTGTGCTTGCCTATGCAGTGTCAGCTAAGAACTCAGAAGCCTCTACTCACAAGTCTGTTTCTGAAATCTCGAGATTGAAGAGAGTATCTGGTAAAGGTCTATCTACGAGGCTCTGAGACTCTTTGTTTAAGGCACATTCTAGTCTGTAACTAGCCGCAGAGTGTGTAAGCAACCACGAGAGGAAAGCAGAGACCACTTGGTGAGGGTAAGGGTAAGTGTCTGTGGTTCATCTGTGGTTAAGCTCATGAAGAGTAATCAGCAAGGAGAGGTAAAATCCTCTGTCGGTGTGTAGGACATTGGTCTTATTTAACCAGTGTTTCCCCGGAGGGTGAGAACGTATCACAGAGCGTGAGGACATTCACAGACACCCAGGACCTTTCTGTAAAGTACGCCATCTCTGAACATTATTTGTATTATAATATTTTACCCATACAAAATTAGCCTAGGGAAGGCTGAGCTTCTCATTTGATTTGACAGATCTTCCTATGCTATTTTTGATGGTATTGAGCTATTCATAAATAAGGGGCATAGCAAACCTAATTAATTCTGACATTCTTTTTGTAAGGTTAAGGAACAAATCTGGTGCTTGCCCAGGGATCAAGTGGGAAAACTTAAGGATGGATCATGTATAAAAGATAAGTTGGAAAAAAAATTTTTTTCCCTGAATTTAAGGTCCAATTTTGGGAAGCAAAATCAAATATGAATTAGAGAAGATTTCATTACGTGACTAATACAGGATTGTGGATGCATGAGAACAATGAATATTTGCAGTTTGTCTACTGAATAAAGCAACAACATTTTATAATAAACAAGAAATCTTAAATCATTAGGAAATGAGGAACTTTCATTTGAAATATTTAGGGATATAGCACAAAAGTTTTTCCTGTGAGATACCAAATCTCTCTGCTTTCCTGGGCAGGTTATGTAGAAAAATAACCTTTTATTACCTTTTGTAAGCATAGGCTGATTTATCCAAGATCATTCTGTCATTTCAATATAGGTAACTGCATTTTAGCTTTATGTTTATAAGGTATTTGTCATGCATTATGTTTTTTAAAATTACTTTATGAATAAACCCATCAAAGTGTGCAAGTTTTGCCATAATTTTAACATTTTATTACATTTTTATAGCTTACTATTTCAAGTATTATAAACCAAGTCAAATAAAGCTCCCTTTGTGCAAACCTACAATTTTTAAATTTTCACCATCGTTTGTTCTTCATGGTCTTTTGTCAATTCTGGAACAACCAGATATTTTAAGAAAAAAAGTATCTAACTTAAAGATATTGGAAATTATGCTTAAACTGACACATCACAGAACATGATTACTATTGATATGAAAAGGTGTGTCACAATTATAATTCAGTTTAGTTGAGCACAACTTTTATATTTTTCTTCACCTTAAACATTATATGGAAGTGATCTTAGCTTATCTTTTCAGCAAACTAACATTATAAGACATTTTAAAAAATTCAGGTAAACTAATCCCTTTGTGATAAAATAAATCCAAACTTATTTTAAGTATGAAATTATAGGAGTGCCTGGGTGGCTCAGTCGGTTGAGGATTGACTCTTGGTTACTGCTCAGGTCATGATCTTAGGGTCCTGGGATCGAGCCACACAATTGGGCTCTGTGCTCAGTGTGGAGTCTGCTTGGGATTGTCTCCTTCTCCTTCTGTCCCTCTTCTACTCATGCTCTTTCTCTTTCTGTTAAATGAATAACTCTAAAAAAATAGGAAATTACATATGTACTATACCGTACATTGATAAAATAAGGAAAAAACATACAGCTGATTTTTAAACCAGGTTGTCAGATCGTACTGACTTGTACTGACTTGTACGAGAGTTTGCTTTGATCACATAAACTTGCTTTCTAAGGAAAAAAATGCTTCTGAAATCAGCCTTTTTTGATGGGACAGTTCTTTTTCTTAAAATGCGAACATATTTTAATTATTAGAATTTCATTGCATTTTCTTAGAATTTTGGAAATATTAGATTTATCTAGATGCTGATTAGTCTCTAAAGCAATCAGAACAGAGGTTCTTTATTTTAGTTTATTATTATCCTCAAGAAGTAGGGAAATACTTCATTCATACACAGTGATTTTTTTTCCCCCCTGAGGTACAGAGCCTCAGATGAAAAACTTAAAATTTGGTTCTATAGCTTCAGCTACAGATCGAAAGTAAATACTGGAACATAAAATTTACTTGTTCCATATCTCAAGAGACTGCTCACTGTTCCACTGGGCACAAAATAGTGTCCTGATTTGAACTCACAGATAGTGAAATAACCAACAAATTAAAACAA